GGAATTCTGCCCTCTAGTGAGATTTAGGCCCTGCAAAAATGCAGATGGAAAAATAATACCTCCTATCTACCATGTTTCCCAGAAAATAGGACCAGGTCTTTATTACTTTTTGCTAGAAAAAACCCACCAGGGCTTAGTTTTTTCACACAAGCAGGTGCATAGTGCGTCCAGTGGACTGGTTCCACTGCCATGAGGTGACACGGGGCGGATTAGGATGCAGTTAGTATGGAAAGGGCCCCCTTGGGAGTCCACTGCTGGGGTGGAGCACAAAGCAGGGCACACAAGGTAGGCTACCCTGTGGAGCACCGGCCTGCCTTCCCCGGCAGGAAGGTAACTGCTGGGTGCTTCCGGACCCTTTCCATCCTTTTTGCAGCCACAGCCCCCCTTGGGCCCTTCAAGGCCATTCATCTCCGCACAGGCCCTGTCTGGATACTGTTGGTGCAGTAGATCTTGCAGAGCTCTGATGCTGGTAGTGTCGGCAGCCAGAACAACCCCTTCTCCTATCTCAGCTGGCAGCCAGCTCCTCTGCAAATGTGGCATGAGCAGCATTGAGATGACATTGGATGGCAGGAGTGGAGCACATGGGCTGCACCACGGCACACACACACACACACACACACACACACACCACCCTATGCCTCACCTGATCCGTTCAGTTGTAACCCTGCAGCCTGAGTGGATTCAGGTCAGCCTCCTGAAACTCTGCAGAAAAATCAATCCCTTCTTGTCAAGTTGACGTTTGGGTGTAGCAGTGGACAAAAACTGGGTTTCTTGCCTCTTTCCCTCTGTAGGAGTGAAGCGAATAAGCATGTCCTGGCCACTTCCACGGCAACTGCCGGGGCAATGGGAGCGGCGGCAGGAGGCGCCCGGTGGGCTGCTGTGTGAGATGGGGAGGGAGCTGCTCCGGCCGCCTCCGCCATCAGCATCAGGGCTCTGCAGGTATCCTTGGCCATCCTTCTGGATGGGGCCTGCATGGAGATGGACGGCCCAAGGGGAATTGTGGTTGCAGGAAAGATGGAAAGGCACTATCACCAAACAGATTGGGAAAGGCAGGAGGCAGGTTGGGAGTAGTGCCACACCGCGGCCCCTGCGCACTCCGCCGTCCAACGTCATCCTCCAGCACTCCTCCAGCTCGGCCTGTCCATGCTTCGCTTTACTGCATGCAGCAGGAAAGAAGCAACAAACCCACTCAAAGCTCTGTCCCTTGCTGTGCCAAAACGTCAATTCGATGAGATGGGATTGATTTTTCTGCAGACGGTTTCAGTTGCGTGCACAGAATCCACTCAGGATGGTGAATTGTGCCTTGGCGCTTCGAGTGGGTTTCTTGCCTCTGTCCGACTGCAGGAGTAAAACAACAAGCGTGTCCCCACCACAGGCACCAGCAATGGAACGGGAGTGGAAGCAGGAGGGAACAGGCTGCTCTCACCACTGCCAGCATCGGCACTCTGCAGGCCTAGCTGCCACCCCAACAGTATTCTTGGCTACCCATTTGGATGGGGCCCGCATGGAGATGGGTGGCCTTGCAGGGCCCAAGGGGAGCTGCAGGTAGGATTGAAAGGGCCCCCGCAGGAGGCAGCAGTTTCCTTCCGTGTGGGGAAGGCTGAGGAAGGCCAGCCATGGCTCCATGGGGCAACTTGCTGTGTGCCCCGCTCTGTGCTCCAACCAGAGAAGAAGAAGAAGTAGTACCCTGTTTCTCCAACAATACAGCCTCCCCCAATAGGAAGTCCCAGCATGTTTTATAGGCATGAAATGAAATTAAGCTCCTCCCCCCAAATTAAGGCCTATATTAAAATATGCGAAATGGGGGGGAAATGGCGGGGGAGCTTGCTGTTAGGAAGTACTTTTGTTGCACACCCGGATATGGTGCTGCCTGCGTTGACCCCGATACGAAGTGCCCCACCAACACTGAGGTCAACATCCAAGCTGTCGCCGCCCGCCTACCCGAAGATGCAAGGGGGGGTGGAATTAAGTCACCCCCGAAAAGATGGCGTAGCCATTTTTGGGGGGCCCAAAAAAAAAATAAGACCCGGCCTTATTATATGAGAAACACAGTATTAGTAACAAGGTTGCCCCCTAGCGTTATGCAAAAGTCTTGAAAGTATGAATCTTGCAGCACCATGGCAGTTGTTCGCCCTTATGAACAACCGCAGAGGCTCTGCAACATTAGTCCTCCATGTTGCATCTCAAAATTGAGGTGGTGAGGGGTGAATCCGCCCCTCAGGCACTATTCGGTCCTCTGCAGGCTGTTCCCAACATGTTGCAGGCCAAAATGGAGCTCCTGAGGGGTGGATCTTCCTGAAAGTTTAAAAACTCTTCTCCTTCTTCAGCAGATGAAAGACAAGGGAGAGAATAACAAGAACAAAGATTTGAGCTGGAAATTTGAAGGAAACATTGTCTAAGAAGTCAAGGGGAATAATATTGGAGTAACAAAAAAGTGGAAACAACTGGAAGACAGTGGGAAGGAAAAGGTTCCTTGGACAGACAAAATGGACAGCTATGAATGAAAGTTCTTGACAAAGGAAAGACTGGCTTGACTCAAAGAACCTCTAAGTAATAGATCAGAAATATTTTTGGCCTCGTCAAGAGTCCAAGAATATCAGTGTGGGAAAAACAGCACAGACTGTCTGTCATGGGACAAACACGGATTGCAGATTACAACTGAAATGGAAGAGAGCATCCATCTAATGAAAAATGTTTGGAGTGCAGCAAAAGCTTTACTCAAAAACTCTTCCTCATGATTAATGGAAAGACCCATACTGGAGACAAGCTCTACCAGTACTCCCAATGTGGCAAAGGATTTAACATGCAGACCAATCTGGTGAGACACAAGAGGACTTGCACTAGGCAGAAACTCTTTGAATGTCTGGATTGTGGGAAAAGATTCACATGGGATTCTGCCCTGGTGATACACAAAAGAACTCACACGGGAGAGAAACCATATGAATGTCCAGATTGTGGGAAAAGTTTCAGTCAGAATTCCCACCTGGTGGATCATCAGAGGACCCACTCAGGAGAAAAACCATATAAGTGTTGTGATTGTGGGAAAGATTTCTCTCAGAATTCGAGCCTGGTGGTACACCAGAGGACTCACTCAGGAGAGAAACCATACAAGTGCCCGGATTGTGAGAAAAGTTTCAGTCTCAATTCCAACCTGGTGATTCATCAGAGGACTCATACAGGCGAGAAGCCATATGAGTGTCCAGATTGTAGGAAAAGTTTCAGTCAGATTTCCCACCTGGTGAGACATCGGAGGACTCACACAATAGAAAAACCATATGAGTGTTTGTATTGTGGGAAAAGTTTCCAGGATAATTCCAACCTGGTGATACACCAGAGGACTCATACAGGACAGAAACCATATGAGTGTCCAGAATGTGGGAAAAGTTTTAGTCAGAATTCCAACCTGGTGATACACCAGAGGACTCATACGGGAGAGAAACCATATGAGTGTCCAGATTGTGGGAAACGCTTCAGTCAGAATTCCCACTTGGTGAGACATCGGAGGACTCACATAGCAGACAAACCATATAAGTGTTTGGATTGTGGGAAAAGTTTCCAGGATAATTCCAACCTGGTGATTCACCAGAGAACTCATATGGGAGAGAAACCATATGAGTGTCCAGATTGTGGGAAAAGTTTCAGTCAGAATCCCCACCTGATGAGACATCGGAGGACTCACATAGTAGAAAAACCATATAAGTGTTTAGATTGTGGGAAAAGTTTCCAGGATAATTTCAACCTGGTGATTCACCAGAGAACTCATACAGGTGAGAAACCATATGAGTGTCCAGTTTGTAGGAAAAGTTTCAGTCGTAATTCCCATCTGGTGAGACATCGGAGGACTCACACAGGAGATAAACCATATGAGTGTTTGGATTGTGGAAAAAGTTTCCAGGATAATTCCAACCTGGAGATTCACCAGAGGACTCATACGGGAGTGAAACCATATGAGTGTCCAGATTGTAGGAAATCTTTCAGTCAAAATTCCCACCTGGTGGAACATCACAGGACTCACACAGGAGAAAAACCATATGAGTGTCTTGAATGTGGGAAAAGTTTCAGTCAGAATTCCCATTTGGCGATACACTGGAGGAGTCACACAGGAGAGAAACCCTATGAATGTCCAGATTGTGGGAAAGATTTCAGTACTAGGTGCAGCCTTATAAATCATGTAAGGTTACACATAGGAGAGTAACGATTCAACTACCCAGGTTGCAGGCAAACATTGTAAGAGATAGATGCAAATATAATAAAGGTGGGACAGTAATGACAGGTTAGAGAATATCATGGTCAATGGTATTGAAACCTGATAAGAGGTCTAGGAGGACATAGCGGTTGTAGTCCGTCTATCTCAAACCCTCCAAAAGTCCATGAGAATTGCAACCAATGCCATTTTGGTGATGTGACCCGGCCTGAACCCAGACTGAGAAGAGCCCCGTTGCCTTTCTCCTGCCCTTTCTCTGGGTGGCAAAGTCAGAGCTGAAAGCAGAGGGCGAGTTGAAGTCCCAGGCTGCCAACCTTTCATTGCCCTCTTCAGCTGCAGTTACAAAAAATCTTAATCTACAGCAATGCCTTGAACTCTCCTAGGAAAACCTCTCATGATTTTCTTATGCATAGCAAACTGCTGTTGAAGGTATAAATCCAGTCAGGTTCCAACTGTCCAGAAGGGGGGAGATTACTGTTCCCAACCCTCTCTTGAGTTTGTAAAAGAAATATGGGTAGTTCTCGGGTTGTGACCACAATTGGTGCCAGAATTTCCATTGCTATTCAGTGTCATTATAAAAATGACATCACGTGACCATGTTACTTAATGAGTTCCACTTGCAATTGCAATTCCAGCACCCCGTGTGTCATTAATTGAGAACCTCATGTTGACATGATGTGGGAAGAGGTAGGAATCCCAGGGCAGCAGGTGAGAACTGTGGGCAAGTGGGTGGCCTCCAGGCCCGTTCATTGAGAGCCAACTTTTATAAAGCCCAGGACTTTTTAGATCAGCTTTCTACAAACTAGCACCCTCCAATTTTTTTTTCACAAGCTGCCTGGGAATATTCAGCGCTGGACTCCTCTGGAAACTGGTTCTTCAGAGGAATTCTGCCCTCTCGTGAGATTTAGGCCCTGCAAGAATGCAAGTGGGAAAAATAATATCTCCCATGGAAGCAGTGTGGGTGGGGGGAATTTCAACATTTTTTCCTATATTATTTTATTAATGGGATAAAGCTGGCAATCGTTTAAAGCTGATGCAGCTGGTAATCTTGTGAAGCTAAGTAGGATCAAGCTTCACTCTTCAAGCTTCCCACAGTTGAAAAGTTAGTTTTGGGGCATTATCCTGCACCCCCAGTACAAAGAACTGCCTGGAATATTCTCCATGGATCCTCAAGGGAGGTGTGCTTTCTTGTGGTCTGATGGCACGTTGTATTCCCCCCCACGGATGCTTTCCCTTGTTTTACTTCTTGCAAAAGAAGCTCCAGGCTCAGTTTCAGTGACAATGAGGGCATCCCTGCGACACCCCAAAGGACAGACTGGATCGTCCTGGAGAAAAGTTATGGATCTGATGGCTAAGAGTGGAAAACGCACTTCACTAAAAAAATCTTTAAAAGTATCAGACAGGGATGGAATGAGTGCATTTTCAGTCTTATGTCACTAGATGGAGCACACCACACCAGGCCTGGAAAACGGCCAGTCTCATAGCCGCATTGGTGGTGGCTGAGAGCCTTCATCCAATGGGAGTGATAGAGTTAAAACCAGCGAGTGTTGCTAGAAAGGATGTGGAAGAGACAAGTAGATAAAAGGTAATTATTTGGATATTTTTTTAAATTAAATTGGATTTTTTTTAATCAAATGTATTTTAATAAATAAAAAATTTTGGAGTAAAAATTTATCTAAAATTTATCTTTTTTATTTAGTTTATTCAGTATGAAATGGAGCTTATTTATATATAACACGAGGCTGCATATTCTGCAATATTTGCATTGTTGGTAAACTCATTCAGTGAATCCAAGTTCTGAATAGGAAACCTTCATTTTGTTGGCAAGTAATAATATTAAAGATCCTAACTACCAGCAAGAATGAGTTCTTAACATTTAAAGAGCACCTGTCATTTCAGATCCATCACGGCAGCGCCTGTTAGCGGGCATCCACTCACCTGCCCGCCACCTCCCTCCCCTTGTTATGTGACTGTTGCATCACCAACCACCCCATTGAAGTCAATGGGACTGTCGATGAGTCAACAGTGGGTCAGGAGGAGCTGCTGCGGAACAGAAACGAGAGTGGCTCTTTAAAAATTATGATTTAAATTGAGTTGATTTAAATCAAGAGTTTTTGCTAGTGATTTAAATCATGATTTAAACTCACTTGATTTAATTCAAATCCCCCCTGCGAGGAGAGATTACGGTCAGGGGAACTTCCAACTCACCTATAGAAAGATGGAGGTGTGGGGGATGCCGGTCCTGTTCTTCCCAGGGCTGAAGCAGAATCTGGAAGGGGAGCTGAGATCAGGTTGGAGAAGAAGCTGGGAGCAAGTAAGCTGGGAGCAAGTAGGGCTGCTTGGTTTCCGCCACTGTGTAAAAGCAGAGCAGGAACTGGGCTCCTCTACATATTCCTTCCCACCCCAGATTTTATTCCACCTGTGCTTTAAAACTGATGCCTGCAATTTTCTGCTGCTGGAAGGTTTAAAAGGTCTTGAAGTTAAAATTGATTCCTTGGATTTTATGGACATGGTTTTTTTCTTGGCAATAATATGAATATAGAACTGGAATGATGAATGAATGAATGAATGAATGAATGAATGAATGAATGAATGAATGACCGAGAAGGCACCTTGGAGGTATTACATATAGTCCAGCCCCCTGCTGAAGTAGGAGAACTTATACTATTTCAGATAGCACCCACAACTTTTTTAGGCAAGCTGTTCCACTGGTTAATTGTCCTCGCTATTGGGAAGTTTCTCCTTAATTCCAGATTGCTTCTCTCCTTAATCAGTTTTGTCTTGCCCTCTGGTGCTTCCGAGAGTAATTTGATCCCCTCTTTTTTGTGGCAGCACTTCAAGTACTGGAATATTGCTATCATGTCAGCCCAAATTCTTCTTTTCTTTAGACTAGCCCAGGGGTGTCAAACTCACATGTTACATCGTCACATCACATATGATGTTTTCTCCCTTCACTAAACCAGGGCCTTGAGTTTGATACCCCTGGATTAGCCAAACCCTCTGGTCTCTTTTGTGATTTTACTTTCTTTTAACTTCTATGTTTAGCTGACAAACATGGTATTTCATATTGGAGCCTCATCAATTAACTAGGTTCAACTGTGCTGAAGCCAGCATTTAAAAAAAAAAAAAAAATAGCAGTTGAGGCCCTTTTGTGAAGTTCAGTTGTATAGGCAGTCCTTGCTTACCAATTCTTCCCTGAGCCTTCAAAGTTACTATGCCACTATAAAAGCAGACATATATACCTGGTCTACAAATTTGTGGCCATGGTGTCACTTCTTCAATGACCACACTTGAGCACGTCCTGTTGGTTCTGAAGGTGCAGGAAAAGTTGCACCAATTTGGGTTCTGCCAATCGGTGCCCTTTATGATCCCATTTGTGACCAGAAGGAACAGTTAGCTTCTGACGAGGCAATGCCGGCAAGAAGCCGCCAGTCCCACGTAAAATTGCCTTTAACAACCCACAGTGATTTGCTTAACAATGGCAGAGGAGCAGGTGTAGGTTGTCACCGTCATGTAACAGCATGCTTAATGATCGGGCGTGTTAGTGATACTGATACCAGGCCCAATTGCGGTCACTAAGTGAAGACTACTTGAACTGGGATATCTTTGGTGTCAGCATGGAGTAAACTCTCCATACAATTCAGAACTCCGAGACAAAGTCCACCAGAGTACGAATTTATTAGAGAAGTCATGGTGGCCCACCTGGGGAAAACCTAAATCTGAATTCTCGCATTCCCCCCCACACACACTAAAACTCACAACCTGTCCCATTTAGTGACTCTCACGTCACATGGCTCAATCCGTCTCCTGTCTCAGCTGCCGCCAAATTTCGGTCACTCCTCTCCAGGTGCCAGCAGCTTGTCCTTGAGCTCTGGTGAAAGAACGTTGTTGTAGCTATACTCCCTTCGCTACTCTCCTGTTCCCAAAGTTTGCCCATCGCCCGCTGTGGCAGCCCTGAAATCTGTCCCCAGAGGGATCCGGGACTGACAATTGGATTGTGGATGGGTGGAGCACAGAGCAGGACACACAGGCAGGCTGCTCTGTGAAGTGCTGGCCAGCCTTTGCCCAGCCTTCCCCGCAAAGAAGGAGACTGCTGGCTCCTGCTGGGCAGTTTCCATCATTCCTGCATTTGCATTCCCCCTCGGGCCCCGCAATGCCACCCATCTCCACACCTGGAGCCCTGTCCGGATGGGTGGCCAAGAATACTATTGGGGTGGTGGGACTTGCAGAGTCCTGATGCTGGTGGCAGCGGTGGTCAGAACAGCTCCTTCCCCATTTCACCTGGCAGCGGCAGCCAGCGAGGCGCCTCCTGTCACCACTCCCGTTCCACTGCTGGTTGCAGCCACAGTGGCCGGTACTCCTGCCGCTGCTGTGCCACTGCCGCCTCACCCCACCATCAGCCATGGGGGTGGGTAGCACAGGAGATGGCGCACACGGGGCCTTAATGCTTTTAATTTACAAATGGAAAACCTGGTTACTAATACTATTACTTCTTCTTTCTTGTCCTTGCTTTTTTTCCATCTTTTTCCTTGTAACCTTTCCTGTCGTTACATTCCTCCTTCCCCCTCCTTCTTCTTGGCATTTCTTTTCGCACTCTTGTTGATGAGGTTGGGCAGCTCTACCACCCAACGGATCAGGCAAGGCGGGAGGCGGGGTGGGGTTGGTGCCACACCATATAGGCTCTATGCGCTCCGCCCCTGCCATTCAACATTGTTTTCCAGCACTCCTCTAGCTTTGACCTCCCGTGCTTTACTCCTGCAGCAGAAGAAAGGCAAGAAACCAAGGCTCCAAGGCTCTGTCCGTTGCTGCATCCCTGTGCGCTCTGCCCCCGCGGTCCAACATCATCCTCCAACTGTGGCACAAATGCAGGAGGAGCAGCAGTGGAGGAGGACAACTTTGGACAGCAGGGGCGGAGCATGCAGGGGCCACAGTGCCCCATGCTTCGCCTGATCTGTTTGGTGGTACTGGAGCAGCGATTCACCACACTATGTGGATTCAGCGCACCCTCCTGAAACTGAAAAATCAAGCAACGGAGGGAAACTAATTTGGAATTGAGGAGAAACTTCCTCAGTAAGGATAACTAAGAAGAGGAAGAGCTTGCCTTCAGAAATTGTGGCTGCTCCATCATGGGAGGCTTTTAAAGAAAGGCGGGACAGCCACTTCTCTGAAAGGGCATAGACTCTCTTGCTTGAGCAGGGGATTGGGCCGGGGTGGAATTCAAAGTTCTTAACAACCAGTTCTGTGAGCGTGGCCTAATTTGTGGGTGTGGCTTGGTGGTCATGTGACTGGCTGGGTGTGGCTTGTATGTAAATATTGGTTTTTTTTATTAAAAAAAGAGCAACTTTTACCTAAAATCAGGCGAAGCAGGCAGGCAGATTGAGTTGCTCGCAGAATCACAGATTCACTTAGAGATCTATCATTCTGCAATCCGCTACCTGAGTCTGCACTGAAAAATAGAAGCTTCAGTCGTAAGAAAGGTTCAGCTCTGCTTTTAGATTAGCTAGAAAGCAAGAAATCCAATGATTTCTTCTTTCCAGCACAGCAGAACAGCTGATGCTCGAGGGGAAAAAAGGAAAAATAGCAAATTTACCAAACACAGGCAAGTTTGATGGCACACATGCCAGGTAAAGAGTGAGTGGGCAGGAGGTGAGAGGACCACCCAGTGGCACAATTTGCCGGTTCTCTGAACTGGACAGAATCATAACAACCGGTTCTATAGAACAGGTCCAACCAAGTAGAATCCCACGCCTGGATTGGGCTAGAGCAGGGGTTGCCAACCTTTTGGACCTCAGGGACCACCAAACTCATACTTTTAAATCCCGGGGACCACTAATATGAATTTTGACTGACGGTGGCTTGCTGACGTTGGTGCAAGAGAGAGAGAGAGAGAGATCTGATCTAACCTCTCTCTCTCTCTCTCTCTCTCTCTCTCTCTCTCTCTCTCTCTCTTTTTCTCATACACACACGAACACACAAACACCCAGAGGCAGGGGTGGGATTCAAATTTCCTAACTGGTTCTTGGGGGTGGTTTAATTTGTCAGTGTGGCTTGGTGGTCATGTGACTGGCTGGGCATGGCTTGTATGTAAATATTATAAATATTTATGTAAATATTGAATTTTTTATAAAAAAGAACAACTTTTACCCAAAGTCAGGCAAAGCAGGCAGGCAGATTGAGTTGCTCACAGAATCACAGATTCACTTAGAGATCTGTGTTTCTGCCATCAGCTATCTGAATGTGTCACATAAAATTTGTTAGCACGCAAACTCACAAAATTAACTCACAATACACCATGTATGTAAATTTTGAATTTTTTATGAAAAAAAGAGCAGCTTTTATGATGGAGTTCAATAACCAGTCATTTTCAGTGTGCCAAAATGTCTGACTGCCTACGCAGCGTTTATTGCTTTTATACAGTTTTTTACAAGCAGAAAAAGATACTATAGAAACAGCATTGTTATTGGTGAATCCCCCCACCAATCCTTAAGAATATACAAGTAAGGAAGTGGTGATGTTAGCAAGTGAGATCACGTACCAGCTAGGGACAGTTCTGCTGAGTGAGATCATGTAAGTATTTGAGGCCCATGTAAGTATTGAGGCACA